GTTCATTTAAAAAAAGTGACATTGTTAATCTAATTAAATTGGTGTTTTGAGTATCATTACAGAAAATGAAACATTAGTTCTACACTGCTTTTCGAGCCATCAGATGTGTTTGATAGCATCCTCTTGCTTACAAAACCTGCGTGGTCATTAATATTTCTGTGTGAAAGTTGCTGCTGAACTTCCCGGCTCCAGGCGCTTTGTGGCACGATGTAAATAGTGTTTTGGGGAGGGGGAAGGGGAAGAACTCTGGTGTGTCAGAGCCTGTACCTGGCCCCCATTGCTGGGCAGTGGCAGGCTGGCGGGGGAGGCTGGAGCTGTGTCCCCGCGGTGCGGGCGCTGCTCTGCGGTGTCGGGGAAGGGCTGCTCCTCTGCGCACCCGCATGTGGGGAAAGAAACTGAGGCAGTGCAGGGTTCGAATTAAAATTAATCAAGTTTAAGGTGGTAAGGTTGCATTTAATCTGGAAGTGGGTTAAGTAGAAAACAAGGCGGTCTGTGCAGATGCAGGAAGCTTAATGCTATATTCGTTACAGATTAGTCTTCCATTTCCCTCGCTGAGGTTTACGGTCTGCGTACCTGCTGCGGAGAGCCCTCGTGGGGTGCCTGAACTCTGCTCCGAGGTGGCAGCCGGGGCCAGAGGCAGAGCAGAGAGGGTTCAAATCCCAATCCTAAAGCACCGTCCCGCGACAGGACAGAAAGGCGGTGTCTTTGCATCAGTCAGTGTTAGGGATTGATGTTTCATTTCACATGCTTACGCACAGTTTCGGTTGTATTTTGTTCTGCTGCGTGCCATGTACACTAGCATATCATTTTCCTGTAATCTTCCTCATTTCCTTGGCAGAGCTGCAGACTAAACCTCCCTTTGCTCGTAGAAATTCAGCTGGTTTTGTTCGTGCCCCTGACACAAATGTTTCCAGTGATAAACCATCACTCAGCTTGGAATGACCATGTTTTCCTTCCTCTGATGTTTCAGCCTTAATGAAGAAGAACTGTAATACCAGATGCTGCACAAGGGCCTGATTCAAATTTGATTAAGTCATTCTTAGTCTTGGTTGTCTTTATTGGGTTTTATATTGGGCTCTAAAACCACGATTTGAGTGGATCTTTTTGGAGTGGCTTATGGGAACCCATAGGATTTTATTTCAATTCTCTGAAACTGCTGTACGGAGGCATTGGTTAAGGATTTACTAGGTTTTTAGCTGCAGCTTCTCCATCTCACATTCAAGTATCCCATATTCTTTCTGATGCAGACTTGTGGGCTATATTTTGCCTTCAGTGGAGCTGGATCCAGCTGCTTTGTGCAGAGCCCAGTTCAATGCATATGTGTGAAATCTGTAATAAACGTGCAGTGCGAGGAAGTGTAAATCCTGGTGGGCTGAAATATTGCTCCTTTTGTCTGGACGATCATTGCTAATGACAGGTTTTGCTGTCTGCTGTGTGGTTCTAAGGCACAACGCAACTCTGCTTACATTGAAGGGGCCTGTGAGGTGCCTGGCGAAGGGCTGTGCAAAAATATTGTTTTAAACAGGGATGTAAAACTGCAATCATGTTAAATGGATAGAACTGCAGGAGGGCATAGGAAAGAGGGATGCTTTGTTTTAGAAACTGCTAAAACTGTCCGGGAAAGAGTGCATCTTGTTTCTGACAGTTGCTTGGAAAATGATTTTGCTTCCTTGTAGATACATGTTTATCTCTGCAGAAATGGTACTTAAACGTTAACTGTAACTGGCCAGTGTAATTCTGTGTGATCCAGTGGGGTGGGCCTTGTGGTTATTTAAATATGCATTTTATGTGGTGCATTTACTTTGAGTCAGGCCTTCCCTTTGGATTCTTCACCTGACAGCTCTGTTACCGTGCACTGTCCCTAACCAGAAGCAACTTTCTTTGGCAGTTCTACCAAGTCACACGTGCGGAAATCCAGGAAGGCTGCAGAATGGGATTCAGCAAGGGACAACATTCAGCATCGGGGACAAAGTGAGATACAGCTGTAATCCAGGCTTCTTTTTGGAAGGACACGCGCTGCTCACGTGCCATGCCAATTCGGAAAACAGTGCCTCCTGGGATTTCCCTCTCCCCTTCTGCAGAGGTAAAGTGCGCTCGCTTCGTCTGGAACAAGCCACACTGAAACAGCCTTGGCTTAATGAGCTGTTTGGGTTGGGAGAAACTTCATGGACTGTAAGCTTGGTTTAAAAGACTTGAAAACTAAACGTGATGTAGTCAATATTGAGGTTCCTTTTTATTCAATTCCTTAAAGCTGCCAGGATTTAGGTGAATAATAGGAAGGTTATGATATGCTCAAAGTATTCACAATGCTGCACAGCTACCTAAATTTCTTTGTCTAAAGTGGGAGGAGAAAAAAGCAGAGGTGTTATCCATAAGATAAGGCACCCACCCAAGACCGTGCAGGTTTTCTAGCTCAAACACTAGAGAATGAGACTGGATTTTCTGCGTTCTGCAGCGTCAGGCTGGCTTCCCTCGTGGCACGTTCCCCGGTGATTCCGGTGCTTTGTCTCTGGAGACCTGCGGGTCCGTGCAGGGTGCTGATGTGCTGTGGGCTGCTGGCAGTGGGGCCGGCAGCCTCGCCGGGGGATGCTGTGTGGGAGCTGAGATCTGGCCGGCGTTGGGAAAGGTGGCCAGCTCTCCTGCAAGCCCTGTTTGGGTAGAGAAACTTAGATTCTTTTATCAGTACAGAGAGCTTCTTGCTAATTCTTTGGGGCCACAAGGGACTAGAGAGTCTGTAAATATACAAGTGTCTGTGTTGTTATACCAAAACAGTTGCTGCTGCTTTGAAATCTTTTCCCCTCGATTCCTTATATACTGCAGCAGAGCATCTTATATTGATTCTTTTTATTGACTCTGCTTGTGCAATCAATCAGTAGGTCTAAGCTGTAGCGTAAATCTTGAATTTAAAGTGAGCAAATATTGTTTGCTTGGTGTGTTTTTAATGCTTGCTTGAATGAGTTACACAGCAGCAATATTTGCTACTTAGTGTATTTCTTGTATGCTCGCCTGCTGTTTTGGGGCCGGGGCCAAGGGCGTTACACCACTGAAGGAGTGGGTCTTACAGCCGAACTGGTGCTGGAGAGGGACGGCAATCATTGCCATTTTAGTATCATCAATTATGATTCTTTGCCTTTCCTTTGAATTGGGACTTTCATTGTAACCTTTTAAAATTTTTTTTTCTAATTTCGCTGGAAGTGGTTGCAGAAAAAACATTCACTGAGATTTGACCTTGAGAGTATGCAAAGCAATACCCTGTTTAGAAGAGAGGGAAATTACCTGAATGAATGGACCAGTGTTTCCTCCAGTCCTGGCAGTGTTTCTCTGATAGCAGCCTTCCTGTCGGGGAAAGCAGTAGCTGCCCCTTGCCCTGCTGTTGTTTGGAGATTTGGGTAGTGGACCCAGCCAGGGAGGGATTAACTTCTGACCCCAGCAGGTGCTGAAGCCGTGAAACAGGAGGGTTGGCATCATTGTACTTTTTGTGCTCTCTGCTGCAGATGGAGTGAAAAATCATTTTTTTCATTTTTGTCTTGAACTGCCAAACTCACTTTTAATTTTAACACCACCGTTTCAGTCTTGAATCCAGCACTGATGATGGTGGCATCTGATACACTTCAGAAAGGAGGAATATTAAATTCTATGGTGCTTGCATCAGTGCTCTGTGAATTTCTCTGATGACAGCAAAATATGTGCATGTTCAGGTGTGCTCATGTAGCAGTGTGCCTGCAGGTTGCTGGAGGTAGCGGCTTTTTTAATAGATTTTGTCCTGATCCTTCAAGACTTTACCTCAAGTAAAACTTCGAAGGCATTTTTTGGAGGCAGGAACCAGAAATCTTCTCAAGTAACATTTATATCTTGGTCCAGGAAGGTAGAAAGTAGCAAAGACAGGCTTCAAATTGGCTTGCTGAATTTGCAAACCAGCTGCACTCCTACCATAAGTAGATTTTTCAGCAGTCAGATGTTTGTTCTTGGCTGATAAACAGGTGATGCAGATTTCAGTTGTTGCAAGGGGCAAAAAGACTTGCATGCTGACAAACAGGGTCGTGCTGCCTTCTGCAGGGAAAACAGTTTTCAAAACTGTTACCTGAAGGAAGAAAAAAAAAATTCCTTGAGAGAAAAGAGCTGCATGGCCTATGTAGCTTCTAATTTATTCTATTAATATTGCCTTACTAGTAATTGTCACCTGAAAATTTCTTAAATGTATTTTTACACTTATTTTATATTTCTGACTTAAGCTGGAGATGGGCCATGGTGCTGGGTCAGATCCTGGCATCGAGATGAAAAGGGCTCTCTCGCTGAGCAGGTGTTGAAAGCTCGGGAGCTGCTATTTTGGGACTAGACCTGTCTGATGTCACTGCAAAGGCCAGTGTTTGATTTGGGGACTCTGCCCTTTGCTTCTTCCCCTCCTCTGTAGTACAGTGGCAGAGGTATGAGACGAGTGCTGAAAACAGGGAAACGTTTCTGCCATGCTAATCGATACCCTCTTCTGGTTTCTTTATGCGCTTTTCTTTGTGCTTGTCTTCCGCTTTGTAACATCCTTTTCTATACATTGGTAGCCTTGTCTCTCTGCAGTCTTCACGCATTGAAATAATTGAAGATGCAAAGAAATGCACGGTAGAAAAGAATAAGCACAAAGGTGTTGGAGAGGATGTGCCAGGACAGCACCGCTTTGAAGGAGTTACGTGGCTCAGCTGCTTTCTCTTCGCAGGAGTTGCCTGCACTCCCTTTACCCAACTCTCACTGTAGAAGTACAGGGTTTTTTTATAAAGGACAAGTGTAATCTGAATGAGAAAGGAAAGCAGCAAGGAATTCCAAATGCAGAAATAATGGCTTGGTGAAATGTGTCTTTGCAGAGCCAGTGAGGTTAGCTGGAGCTGTGGCTCGCCAGTGGGTTTGAAAGCACAGTTATATCAAAATTGATTCTTGGACTCTGAGCTAAAAGAGACTATAAATTCAGTCTGCACAGACTCTGCTCTGGTGGGTTGTGTTTCTTGCTTATGTGGCAGGACGGATTAAAACTGCGGTGATCTCATTCAGCGAGCACCAAAGCAGCAGCGAATGACATCTCCATGCTGATCTGCAAAGTAGGAGAGCATGGAACTGGGTAGCAGCTGGGGCTGCCCAGAAGAGAAGCTTGGCTGTGCCTGGCAGACCATGTGTAACTCCGAAATTTGCCTCGAGCACTGAAAGACCTCAGTAAGTCTGGGTCAGACTGTAAAATCTGGACTAAGCTGACATTTATCCCATCTATATAATGTGCGCCAGAAGTATCTGGAATGGTTTCCTCGTATCTTCTGATTTTTACACGCTTTCTTGCACAATTGTTCTGTACTCGTAGTGAAATGAGTCCTTGTACTTAATCAAAATGGGGCCTTAAGCTGAGTCCTGCAAGTCTAGCTGTATTTTTGTCTTGACAGTTGGTATGCTGGAGGCGAAACCCCAGCAGACTTGGAATGCTGTCTTCTGTTCTGCTGTAGCCACGAAGAAACAACCCTCACCTGGGTCAGTTAATTTCAAATAAAGCAGAATGGTGCATCTGAAGCACCGAAAGAATATCCAGAAACGTCTGAATCTGTTTTGTAAAGCGCTTTCATGCATGTGGAGAGAAGTCTTGCTCAGATTGTTTGCTGAATTTAAGTAGAGGTAATAGGTTTATGATTCTGGTAGGCGGTTGAGTAAAAATGCAGTGAGCCAGCACTGTGCCAAAAATAGTTGAAGGGCTGTTCAAGAAGATTTTAGGAGATTGTAGAATATGTTTAAACAGTAACCTCTACAAGCTTAGGAAGCGTGTATTTCGAGGTGGATGGGAAGGCAATACATTTTTCCATTAAATACCTTTTGCAACGAAAAATTTTCAAGGAATTTCAATTAAAACCTCCCTTTTAGTAAAAAAAAGCCAAAGTCATCATACCTTTGGCTAGATCTTCAGCTACTGTAAGTTAGCTTAGTCCTGTAAAAAAAAAAAAAGTAGTCTCCTTGTTTAAGAATTCTGATACAGCGCTGAGTCAGAATTCTCTAGCGTATTTCCCCATCCCCTCCTGTATTCCTTCCAGTACAAGAGCAACTTCCACATACCAGATCCAGTTTCAGACTTCCCAGACCCCGAGAGCAAACGGGGCTGAGAACTTGCTGATAGGAGTTGCCTCTTCCAAACTCTTGTTGCATTTGCTCTTGGGGGTGTGTGCTTAAGGTTCTGTGTAGACCTGAGACACACGAATAGGTGATTACATAGTGAGAAGCAAGTGTTTGGCCAAGAGCAGCTATGCCCTTGAAGGTGGCCTTCGTGTACAGACGCTGGGTTGCTCACAGATGTCTCGTGGTAGTGGTGCAGGACCTTACTGGCACAGGAACTCAGATGGTTGCCTAGGGCTGATAGCAGCCAGGCAGCAACGGCGTGTAGCGTGTTGTGTTGGAGGTGTGCTCACCTGCAGAGGAACAGCTATCTAAAGAATAAATTGCCTCTTCAGCCCCCTGGGCGCTGCTGAAGCAGCTGATGACCTTGCTCCTGCTCTGTCTGTCTTGCTGCTGGGCACGCAGTCTGAGAGTTCACTGGCTAAGAAGCTTTTTTGCATCTATTTCCTTCTAGCGTCTGCAGGGGCACTTACTCATGAGGAATTAAATTTGAACATACCAGTAAACTGGTGAATTGTGTTTACCCTCTTCGGCCAGAATCCATTCATCCTCTAAAAAGCATTTTCGTTCTGTCTGGCAGAGGGAGGGGCTTGGAAGTAGCCCTTTCACTTTTTGCACAGACCTTCTTTGGAAGTCCCACTGTGACTCTTGTGCACGATGCATTGACGTTTGAAGGATTTGCTGGTGCTCGGACTAGATAAGACATCTTTCATCCTACGTTTATTCATGATTCTAACTACACTTCAGTGTCTATGAATAACTTTATTTCACTGACAATACGATTGCAGCAAATAGGTAACTTTGTTGTAATAGAATACCATGGAACAGAGCATCGAGTTGGGATTTCAGTGACCTTTTTCAGTCCTGATTTTGGCTGCTGGAATGGCCCAGAAGTAGTTGCATGTCTGCCTACGTGTCTGGCTTTTTTTCTTATTTCTTTCTGCCATTCCCACTTGCTGTGAGCGACGTGCTGTCCCGGTCTGAGCACAGCAGCAGTTGCACAGCCGAGCTGGTGCTGCGTGCACGAGAGCAGTGAGCTGCCCTGGTGCTAGTCAAATTAATTCTTGGTTTCCTTCATCTTCCTGCTCGTGTTCACTTTAGATCTTCCTCCTTTAATTGCTCTAATAGCTCTGGCTGATAAAATTCAGGTTGTAAAAAGGAAAGAACCTGCAGCAAACAGGAGATCCAGTACAGGACCAGGAAATGTCACTGCTAGATTTCTGAACAAGAGGTTAAGTTTTTACCACTGTGATTCTGGTAACAACATACATTTCCTGAAGAAATCAGAGCGCAGACAGACATGTAAGGCAGGTGTGTGGGATACTCCACTCCTATTTAAATTTTTGTTAAATACAGTGTTGGTACCTGTTGTCCCAGCCCTTGGGGGTGTTTCTGTTGCTGATGAAGGTGGCGAGATCTGTGTGAGCTGGAAACCAACCTCTCTCCCCGCTGTGACAGGAGAGTTTTCACATGTCTGTGAGACACTTTGCAGGCACTGAATTCCTGGGGGTTTTCCTCCTGCTTGGCTGGCTACAAGGAAACCTGTGGAAAACACCTCAGATGATCCTAGTGAGGAATAAGGGATGCAACAGAAAACTCAGGCAACAACATGTGAGAAAATAGCATCCCGACAGCGAGACGTGTTATGCTGAGAACCACCTCCCACAGCAGCGGCAGAAGCTCTGTCTCTTGGGGTGTTTGAAATTAGACCAGACAAATCACTAGGAAGGGTACAGCAGGGAGTGAGCTGGCACTTGTCGGGTGGCACTGCCTGGCCTGATAGGATTTTGCATCCTTTGACATCTTTGTCTCTTCATAGCGTGCAGTAAAACGCACCCCGACAAAAGCACTGGGGCTTGTAAAGCTTTGCTTTGAATTCGGGCTTACTCTTTTTTGATGTGCTGCTTTGTGCATTTCAGCAAAATCTGAGAACTTGCATTCTGTTTCCAGCTGATGATGCTTGCGGAGGGACTTTGCGGGGACAGAGCGGAATCATCTCAAGCCCTCATTTTCCTTTGGAGTATGGCAATAATGCAGACTGCACGTGGACTATTCTCGCTGAACCCGGAGACACCATTGCTCTGGTTTTCATGGATTTTCAGCTGGAAGATGGATATGACGTTTTAGAAGTTGCTGGAACAGAGGGATCTTCACTCTGGTAGGTCACTACTGGCTGTATTTTGCTGTGGTCTGTACAGTCACATAGTACCTGCTGACGTTTTGTGTTCACAGATCCAAATTTATGGGATGTTCAGAGTGAATGGGGCTTGTGCCTGGATGAGGGTAGCTCCTGGTATTCCCAGTCACAGGTTGTAGCTGCTACTTTCTAATGAAACTCCCTGGGATGCTTTTTATTTGCTTGGTAAACTTGGCAGTGACTAATGTCTACTTTATATCTTATTGCAGAGAATACGATTTCACAAAAAAAAAAAAAACCACAAACAAAAACAAAAAAACCCAAAACAACCCAACACTTCGCAACTCAAGAAACCCTGTTCAAACATTGTCATGCTCAAACCTTGTTTTTGCTAATTTGTTTTCTGCTTATCACTAAATACATTGCTGAGAAGTTGACTTTACTGTTAATGAACTTTTGGCAAACGTTTCTACGGATCAGTTTGTCCTTTAGACAGGAGGCTGTGTATAGAATTTCAATAATTCTCTCATCCCATTGTTTGCTTGAGCAATGCTTTCAGAAATATTGCTCCTATGTATAATAAATGCCGCACTGATTTTTTCTGATATACAAGAGCTAACCCAGTGATCAGTGCTATGAAGTCTGAAGGGAGGGGTTGCGGAAGGAATTTGGTGTATTGCTTACGTTGCTTTTATAGCAAAGGACAGCTCTGGGCAGTGGGATCTTCTGCGCTGTGATTGCACTCAGTGAGCCGTTAAAAGTCCTAACTAGCAACAAACGGGAGTGGTCTTAAACCTGACATCCCTCTGGAAGGGAAGAATTAAGCGTTTGAAATAATTAGGTGTTGCCTTGGATTAACAGCAGGAAGTTAAATTACGATTATTTATGAGGATTCTGGCATAGCCACAAACAACATTCATTTAAGTAATTTATACTTGCCAGGCAATTATGGGGGAATAGGTGTTGAATGTTGAGGATGTATTGATAGGAGAGAACTTGCCATTTACCACATACCAATTGTTTACTGTTCCCAGGACCCCTTTGAAAGTTAGATGTTGCTGTTTCGTGGAAAAAAACCTGGTTTTATTAGCAGGCATTAGTATTTTAGGGCACTGTTAGTTTTTAGCCATTTATATACCGCAGTGAGGATCAGTCTTCTATGGTATGTGGTAAAGATGAATGTAAGTAGTTAAGAAACATTATTCAGCCTGGAGGTGTTGTCAGTGCAGCACTGTGTCTTGTCATATCAAAAATAAAGCAATGCCTGTCAGAGTAAACCTGGTGGAAAAAAATTAATAAACTAGCCGTAAATACAGCATGGTAGAACTTTAAAAGTGGCAAACGTGTCTTAGAAAAATGACTTTGACTTTCAGTAGTATATGCACATGCACCCTTTAAAAATGGGACTGAGTAGCTATTGGAGAGCAGGCCAGGCGAGACGCGCTGCCTTCATGAGTGAAACGCAGGTCACGTGAGCACGGATTTCATCCAGGGCTCACAGAAGAAGCTGCTCCTGCTTTTTGAGGTTCATCCCCTGTTTTTGTAGCTCCATGAAATACGCACAGCCGAGATAAACACACCAGCCAGTTCAAAGGGATCTCATTTAGTATTCTTGAGAAGTAAACTTTTCAGTCCCGTAAGCGGAATTATAAAGAGTCTTGTTTTGAATTTCATTTTTCAAAACCGGCCTTCACAACTCGGAGCCTGAGGCAAACGTGTCTTAGAAAAATGACTTTGACTTTCAGTAGTATATGCACATGCACCCTTTAAAAATGGGACTGAGTAGCTATTGGAGAGCAGGCCAGGCGAGACGCGCTGCCTTCATGAGTGAAACGCAGGTCACGTGAGCACGGATTTCATCCAGGGCTCACAGAAGAAGCTGCTCCTGCTTTTTGAGGTTCATCCCCTGTTTTTGTAGCTCCATGAAATACGCACAGCCGAGATAAACAAACAAGCCAGTTCAAAGGGATCTCATTTAGTATTCTTGAGAAGTAAACTTTTCAGTCCCGTAAGCGGAATTATAAAGAGTCTTGTTTTGAATTTCATTTTTCAAAACCGGCCTTCACAACTCGGAGCCTGATAATTAAATTCAGATGACTCATTTTTCTCATTTTTTAATAATTATTGCCCGTAGGGGGAAAAAAACCTGGAGCTCATATCTCCTCTTTAAACATGTTGATATGATTCAGCTTGAAAATACAGCTAAAAACCATTTTTCTTCTCTGTCTGTGAAAACCTAGTTTTAATTATTGGTAATATGGCAGATAGACTCGTGGCCAAATAAACCGTTCTATTGAAGTATCTTGCAGCTAAATATTTCATTTCCTAAGCACTATAAATAGTTTTAATGTGGTCCAGAGATGTACACAAATAAACAAAACTACATTTAATCTGGAGTATAATTCATATGTATTTTCAAGCTATGGAATGCTATATAATGGTGGTGTTTACAAGTGAGCTCGACTTGGCCTGCACTTACTGAAAATCTCCTGCGTTGCCATGCACCTTCCCCTTTTTAAAAGCAGACGCTTTGCTGGCTTC